CACATGCTCAGTATGCCAGGGGCTGACCCTTACCTGCGCATGTCTCCTGTCACTAGGGTCATACAAGGTCTGCCCCTATAAATAGGGGCAGTGAAGACAGACCCAGTGGGACACCCTCTACATCTGGACCAGCACCATGCCACACCACCTATCCACCCAGACGCCCTGGCGTCCCCCTCTCCCCCCGGACAACACCTACTGGACAAGGACCCCTTTCCAGCCTGGATAGATAGCAATCACCCCCGCCCCCTCTTCAACCAAGGACTTAGAATCTGCTTCTCTTCCCTATCTGGACTCCAGCCCTTCCACTGTCTCTCTTTCTTCTGCTGCCATTGTGAGTTCTTGTGTGTGTGTGTGAACCAATAACTTCATGGGGCTGTGTAGTGTGTTGTCTGTTTAATAAAACTGTTATTGGACCCCTAAGTTGGGTTTTGCTTTACTATGGTTTGGCCCTGCTCCAATCTCTGCTCCGCACCCCTCTAACTTCTGTCTCATTTCTCCCTCTCCTGCTTCTGGCTCACTGCCACCTCCAACACCTGTCCTGAGCTCCTCTCTGCTTCCAAACCCCCTGTTTCTTTGCCACTGTCTTATCCCCACTGCCTTTTCCTTTTCCCCTGTGCAAACTGAGGTTTCTGCCTCAGGTTCTTTCCTGGCTGTCTCCTCCTTGCCACCACTTATCTGCCCCCCTCCCCAATATCTCAGCTATCTGCTTCAGTTTCTAGCCCCAGTCTACCTTAAGTAAAACCAAGCCTCAGTTCCTCAGCTAGCTTCTCTGTAGTGTACCGGTTCTAATCCTGGTTGTGGCAACTTTCACTCCCTACACTTTAATTTTCCCTCTCTGACCTGAACCTTCCCCCAAGTATCCCAGGTACGCCAAGAACACATATACACACTGTACCATCCAAGTTAAGAGCTTACCTGTGTGTATGTGTAGGTGGTTGTGTGTGTGTGAACTGGTGAGTGTGTGTATATATATGTATGGCATTGTGTGCATGATATATGAATTAGTGATCCTTGTCTAACTTTTGGGGTGTATAGTGTATGTGTTTGAATTGGTGATAGGTATGCATGTGCCTAGGCTGGTTTGGATGTGTATGTGCCTGAGCTGGTAGTGTGTGTGTGTGTGTGTGAATGTACCTAACTGATTTGTGTGTTTGTATATGTGCAATTGGGTCACACCCTCCTGTCTAACAGTGCAATATTGAGATCCTGAGAGTTGGCCTGACCACACAGGGCAAGAAATAGTGCTGGCAACACATCCAGAAACCAGAACTCTCCCTTCACCCATCAACGTGTAATTACTACTTTGTTTAAAAAGTAATTTTTTCTTCCTTGCTTTTAGGATTCTTCAAACATTTTGCATTACCAAGTCACTGGTGTGGGTGACACCAACACATAAAAAGCCTACTGAAACAGGCAGGACTTTGCAGAAAGCAGAAGGGGGCAGGACCTATTCTTCTGCTGTTTATCAATTTTATCTCATTAATATTAAATACAAGGCTTAAGAAAAAAGAACTTCTGAGACCAGGTGCTGGAGAACATCTCTCTTTCAAGGGAGTTTCTTTCTTACTGGCAATAACCCCTTTTCTCTTGCTTTCTTCCTCCAGACCTCTCGTGTTTTCCCCACTTGGCTGCCTAAAGGGCAGCACTGAAAGGAAGTCTGGAGAGTGCTCCAGGCAGTGCCCAGCCAATGACTTGATCATCTTTGAACTTTGCAAGGAAGTGGGATATACAGGTTTAAACTCCCTTTGCATGAGAGAGGTCTGGAATTCATGTGTCTCACTTTCCTGGGAAATGCTGTGTATACTAGGCTAGTGGTCAGCAACCTTTAGGAATCCAGAACATCCCAGCTCTGGTCTGATGCAGGTCAGGTAGCTTTAGTAGCATGTCAGTGCCAGAGTGCCTTTCCCTGAGCCTGTACCAAAGCCAGATAGTTGGGAGCCCACTCCATGGATACACTTGAATGAAGCTTCCAGCCGGTAGGGGACTGCAGCAGAGTTGGAGAACTGCAAACTGCATCTATGCTTCCACTGCTGTTCTCAACTTTCCCTTTCTCTACTCTCTCTCCCCCCATCCCAGCTGCAATGTGAGCATAGTTGGAAGCTGCCAAGCCCCAGCACAGCTGTGTCTGTACTGCAGCCAGGTTGAAGGGGGAGCAGGAAAAGTCATTAGGTGTGTGGGCACAGCTGGAAGCCACATGGTTATGACACAGCTCCCAGACAGCAAGGAGCCATCAGGGCTCAAGTTGGGGGGTGTTCAGAAATAAGTGGCAGTTGCACAGGTGCATGCAGAGAAGCTGTTTCAGGGCTATGCCATCCAGCTGTGCCTGTGAATATTTTGTTAGGTTGGGATCTTCAATATTATCAATAGAGTGCCTAACTCCCATAGATTATCAGCTTTGTTTAGTTCTGCAGATGCTCTGGTCTGTTCAATATTGTTTGACTTTGAGCTCTATAGCCTGCTTGCATAGTTTGGAAATTCCAGTGTGAGTTAAGTGAGTCAGTCTCAGTGGATTTAGACTCATTAAGGGAATAGAAATTATGGTTCTCCAGTGGTTTAGTGTGTGAATATGATTTAAAGGCTACTTTGCTCCATGGGTACAGCACAGTCACCTGGATTTCAAGACCTGCAGGACTTCCTGTCTGGCTTCTCATCTGAACAGGTAGAAATTTCCTCCAGCAGTTTTCACGTATTTTTTTGTTTCTAGGTAGTTGAATAGAAGAAAGTCTGAAACCAGACACATTTGAGCTGGAAGGGACCAGGACTGAGATGATTTCTAGCTCCTTTGAAATCCCCATACTTTAGCCCTTGTGTCCACTGATGTAAGTAGCTGAGAATTCCTCACATGTGATCTTTTCAAAATGATGTGATGCCTAGTGCGTGGGTTTCTGGAGTAGAATGAGGAACCCCTGAGTTGGTTTCCATCTGCATCAAGGAGAAGATCCATGCACTAGGGCCCCATTCTAAAGAATCCATTTGGATTCATAAATCCTGTTTTCCAGCACAATGCTCTAACCATCAGACCAGAGCTTAGGTGTTAATCTATGAATAAGGGGCCAAGCTAAATAACAGGGACTTTTCTCATCCAGAACAGCATTTATCTCAAAACTACACATCCTCTGACTTGCTTGCTTATTTCTGGCCCTTCCTGGCTGCCTAAGCTCCCCCTCCTACCCATGCACGCAGGCATCCAGAGAAATTGTTTTGGAAAAGAAAGAAATAGAATCACAAGCTGTGTGTAACTTTGGAAAAGGTTCTTACATGTCTGGATAACAGCAATTTAGGTACATCAGGTAAAACAGGTTCTTCTGCTTCTTATCATTTCTACATGTTCTGCTGAGACAACTACAGTCAATAAATAATGAGGCTATTGCTTGGCTTCATGGATTTGCATTTGCTAAATAAATAACTAAAATAATTATGGGAATGATATTAGAAATGCAAACACTGAAAGTGGCAAATTGGATAAAATATTATATTAATTATTCACAAACAAAAGAAAAATTCCATATCAGGACAAAGCATAAATAAGAAAGAGAGCAAAGTAAGAAATGTTGACACCCACTGTAATCAGTGGTACTTGCACTATCCTAAGGGGTCCTAAGGGAAAAGGCTAGTTTCTTAGATGCCACCTTGCCCTACCTTGCTCCTAAGGAAAAACTGAAAGTTGGTTGACACAAGGTCAGACAGTGATGTGTTTGTCTCCCCTACCTGTGGTTCTGAGGTGCCTTCCTTCCTAATCTAGTCTTACATATTCATGTTCATAAGCTTTTTGACCAGATATTGATTCCTGCAAGTGAATTTAAGTCTTGCCAAAAACTTCAGAGGACACCTCTAATTATTTGGTCACTGTTATTAGAAGCAGCACTGATGGTTACCAGGGCAATCTGCAGTTTTATTTCAGCAGTGATCAGTCAACTATTTCTCTAAATTGGGGTCTCTTGCCTAATCGGCTTGCATTTTATTCTACTTTTTCCTAACTAAAAATGATATACTGGTACCATATTTACTTAAAATCCAAGATGAGTCTTTTTTCCCCCTGTTCAATGGCAGGGAGGAGGCTCATCTTGGATTGGAGGGTGGGGGGCAGACAGCTGCTGTGACTAACTGTAGCTCCAGCCCCTATCCAGGTGTGGGGTCAGAGCTGCAGCTGTCACCTGCCCTACTGGCTCTGCCTTGTGCTGCCTCTGTTTTCCCCCACTCCCCCAACACTTACCCTCAGTTCCGGTTCTGTCCCTACACCCACCCAGCAGCAGTGGTGGCAGCAGCTCTGGCACCAGCTTTAAGTCTAACCTGGAGCCAGGGCCACAGCTGATGTCCAATGAGGGTTAATCACAGGGACCCACAGATGAAAGTCCTTTTGAAATGCTTCATTTTATTCTCTCTCTCTCTCTCTGTAGGGATGGCAAACTACACAGAGGTGAATGAATTCATCCTTTTGGGCCTAACCAATCTGTGGGGGCTTCAAGGCTTCCTGTTTGTTCTTTTCTTGATACTCTACATGATCAGTCTTCTGGGAAATGGCACCATTGTGGCTATTGTGGTGAATGAACCCCAACTTCAGACTCCTATGTACTTCTTCCTAGGAAACCTCTCCTGCTTGGATATATTCTACTCTACAGTTACCGTGCCTAAGATGCTGGCTGGCTTCCTCTCAGGGAACCAGGCCATATCCTTTGCAGGCTGCCTGGCCCAGCTTCACTTCTTCCACTTCCTGGGCAGCAGTGAGGCCATGCTGCTGGCTGTCATGGCCTATGACCGCTATGTGGCCATCTGCAACCCACTGCGGTACACAGTGGTTATGAACCAATGGTTCTGCCTGTTGCTGGTAGTCATCACCTGGGCCACTGGTTTCCTGCATGCCCTGATACATTTGGTCATGACCTCCCAGCTGCACTTCTGTGGCCCCAACAATGTCCACCACTTCTTCTGTGACATAAAGCCTCTACTGCGGCTGGCCTGCAGTAGCACTAGCCTCAACTTGATCCTTCTTAATACTATGACTGGGAGCCTTGTCTTGGCTCTTTGTCTTCTCATGCTCCTCTCCTACCTCTACATCATCTCTTTCCTCCTAATGAAATTGAAATTCCAGGAAAACAGAAAAAAGACCTTTTCCACATGTGCCTCCCATGTCATGGTAGTGACTTTGTATTATGGGACTGCAGCCATCACTTACCTGTGTCCTTCACTGGATTCCATGGCAGAAGAGATGATTGTTACTCTTATGTACAGTGTGGTCACTCCAGCTCTCAACCCCCTTATTTACATCCTGAGGAACAATGTGGTGAAATCTGCCATGAGAAAAGTCATAGGCAGAATTCTATTCCCTGAAAGAATGTGAAAAATGGGGCTTGCTTGTTCTCTTGTGCTCTCTTTTCTTGATCTATATAAATTAGCAATTAGATTTATATAGTATGGACAGAGTGTCTAGTATCTACTAGAAAGCAGACTAAAGCAGGCACTTTTTCAGTAAGCAAGATATGCAACTGGAGATGGAGAAATTTATCAAAAAGGATAGTTTTCTTTATGCTTATCTGGGGAAGAATATTTGGAGGTCAATTTAAATTAGTATTCCCAAAGAAAAAATATGTTAAAACAGAGTTGAGTTTGATAGCACAAAAGAACAACTCAAAGTATACAAGAATGTGTATGTGTGTGCGTGTGTGTGTATTCCAAAAACAAGAATGGGGTGTGCCTGTGTGTATTTCCCCCATCCTTCTCTACCTTTTTTTGTTTTCCTAATTTCCAGCTACTTTACTTTTTTCACAGACTGCCTCTTTTCTACCTTGGAGAACTTGTTAGTAAAGCAGAGTCTCTCTTGCTTACCTTTAGCATTCCTTCACCCATTTTTGCCCCTGCCCCACCACTCCCTTCTCTACCCATTGTCTTCCTAATTTCCACCTATTTACATTCTCACTGACCTCCTGTCACACTTTTAGCTTCTTTCATTCCTTGAAGATCTCAGAACAACTATGGAGTCTTCTTATGCCTGAAGAAGGGTGCTTGTACCTGAAAGCTTGCAAAAAACTTTGTTCCAACTACTCAGTTGGTCTAATAAAAGATATCACATCTGCCCAAAGAACCTTACCTTCCAAAAAAAAATGTTGCAAAAATTAGAAATTGAAATCTTCATTGTGGATAGGTCATGCCTGATCAGCCACATTTCCTTCTATGACTAAGTGATGCATCACCTGGACAAAGGAGAAGAGGTTGGTATCAGATTTAGATTTCAGAACAGCCTTTAACTTGATCTCCCATGATGTCCTCATTGTAAAATTGGGGAACTGTGGCCTCCATGACCTTACAGTGCAATGGCTGGGGATCTGGCTCTGTGGTCAGACTCAGAAAGTGATAGTCGATCGAACTAAGTCAACATTGCACATGGCGACCAGTAGCATCCCCCAGGGCTCAGTACTTGGACCAGTACTCTTTAACATATTCATAAATTATCTGGATTCAGGTGTCAGAAGTGGACTGGCTAAGTTCATAGACAACACCAAATTAGGGGTAAGTGCAGTCACAATAGAGGATAGGCTGGAAATTCAGGTCAACCTGGATAGGCTCACAAGGCGCAGTGCTACGCTCACTAGCACCACAGTCGAAAGAGACTTGGGGTCATGATTGACCACAGGATGAACATGAGCCACCAATGCAATGCCACAGCTGACAAAGCAAATAAAACTCTGGCTTGTATCTACCGATGCATCTCAAGCAAGACCCACAAAGTCATCCTCCTGCTTTACTCAGCCTTGGTGAGGCCACAGCTGGAGTACTGCATCCAAGTCTGGGCTCCATACTTTAGAAAGGATGTGGAGAAGCTTGAGAGAGTCCAGAGGAGAGCCACGCACATGATTAGAGGTCAAGAGAGCAGGTCTTATGAGAAGAGGCTGGGAGGCATGGGATTTTTCAGCCTGGAGAAGCAAAGGCTCAGGGGTGACTTGGTGGCTGCCTATAAGTATATGAGGGGTGTGTGTGCACCAGGAACTGGGAGAACATCGGTTCACAAGGGCACCCCAAGAGAAGACAAGGTCACAAACTGCTGGAAGACCATGTAAGACTGGACATAAGGAAAAACTTCTTTACTGTCCGAGCCTCCAGAGTCTGGAATAGACTCCCCCCAGAAGTGATGCAAGCACCTACTCTGGATACCTTTAAGAAACACTTGGATGCTTATTTTGCTGGGGTGATCTGACCCCAGCTGACTTCCTGCCCCATGGTCAGGGGTAGGGCTGTGCGAGGCTACGGACAGAGCTTCGGATCTGGAGAAGCTTTGCACACTTCAGGGTCCAAAGCAGTATATCCAGGTCAAAGCGTTGGCCTTGTTAGGTGTCCCGAAGTGCTTTGGAGCTGCCTCAGAGCCACCTTGGAGATCCGGCCATAGGGTATAAGGGGGAAACAATAAAATATCTATAACTTTGGTTTTTTATGTCCAATTTGGATGAAATGTTCAGGGGTGGTAGAATCTGCAGAGAGGATGAAGCTTTACATGTTACAAGAAGATGGGTACAGGGGTTTGGGGGGAACAGCACCCCAAATTCTTGAAAGCAAAACTCATGTCACATCTAGGCGTTACAACATAGCAGGGTGAAATCTGCAGGGTAGCTCTTACTGAGGCCACACAGGCTGCCAAGTTTCATGAAGATTGGCGCAGGGGTTTGGGGGGGACTTCACCTCAAGCTGCAGAGAAGCAAAACTGGTGCAATGGGTGCTTGAGGGACTGACTGTCTGTCTTGGGGTGGGGAGGGGAGACACTACTGCAGGCCTGGCTGCTAAGTTGCTGTGTTCCCAGTTACCAATCAATCAATCATGATTCACTCAGAGACCAGCTCAATACACAGGACCTAGCTACTACATAATGACTTAACGAGCATCAATTATCACATATAAAACCAGGCTAAGGAGAGGAAAGAATCAATACAGACAATCAAAAGCCCCAAAACAGACACAGTCTTGGCATGAGTTTTGCCTGTCAGCAGCTCGGGGTGCAGGGCCCCAGAACCCCCCTGCACCGATCTCCTCCACAGCTGGCAGACATCACAACAGGGGCCACCATCCTTGCAGCTGTCACCCGGCTGCGCCTTAACACACGCAGTGTCACCCATGGCATGAGTTTTGCTTGTCCACAGCTTGAGGTACAGTTTCCCCCAAACCCCTGCACCTATCTCCTTGAAACTTAGGAGACTTTGTGGCCTCAGCAGGCACTAGTAGGCCTGCAGTTTTGACCGTGCTGTGGCTTAACACATACACATGACATGCTTTTTAATTTCAAGACTTTGAGGTGAAATTTCCCCGAACCCCCTGCACCTATCACCTTGAAACTTGGCAGGCTTCATGCCTTCAGAAGAGGCTACCCTTCCTGCTTGTTTTCTCCCAATT